TATATATATATATATATATATATATATATATGTATGTATGTATACACAAATATATGTAAATAAACAAATATATATATATATATACATACATACATACATACATACATACATACATACATACATACATACATACATACATACACACGTACACACACACACACACACACATATATTATATATATATATATATATATATATATATATATATATAATATACATATATATATATATATATATATATATATATATATATATATATATATATATATATATATACAAACACAACACTCACTACAACCACTACCAGTCCTTTCCTTTACCGAACCAGAGACTACCACATCGGTACATTTTTTATCTGACCGGAAAAGGAGGACACTTCACCATCCCTCTACTAATGTGCTGAATGAAAGGCTACTTTAGAGGGGAGGTGGGGGGGGGGAGGTGAGAAGGTCAAAGGTCAGAGGCACGATCTTTGCACGACGGTCCACTTTGATAATTTTGTCTATAATTCACTCTTATGATTAATACCTTTGATTTATTTTGATTTGATCTATTCATAACTCCTTCATGTATATAATCAGTTCCATTTTACAGATTCTGTTTACCTTTTCACAAGTGAATGTAATCCATATCATCGTAATACATATATATTTTTAAGATGCAATGCGTACAGTTCACATCGTAATACATATATATTTTTAAGAAGATGCAATTCGCATAGTTCAAAGATGTTTTGACATACTGTTACAAAACCACACAGCGTAGACGTCCATGCACAGGAAATTCATTACTCACCACAGCGTTCTAGTCTGTGAAGTGACCAGCAAGGAGTCAGTTTTGTCGGAAAATTTCAGTCCTTGTCGGAAAAACGTGACGCCAGTGTTTTCGTGAGATGCTCATGTTCCTTTTTAGTTTATTTGAAAAAGAAAGAAAAAAAGAAAAAAAAAGAAAAAGTAAAAAAAATAAAAAAGAAAAAAAAGAAGAAGAAAAGAAAAGAAAAGAAAAGAAAAGAAAAGAAAAGAAAAAAAGGAAAAGGAAAAAGAAGAAAAAAAGAAAAAGAAAAAGAAAAGAAGAAAGAAAAGAAAAGAAAAGAAATATAAAGTATATATATATTTATATATATATATATATATATATATATATATATATAATATATATATATATCAGTTCCTTCTGTTTTCGACCTAGTCATCTAAGTTTAATTGTCAGTTTTTTTTCGCTTCCCGAGGTAAATTTAACACACACCACACGTACAAACAAGTCCATGTAAAAACTCGACATGTGACATTGATCGCTTATTACCGTGTTTATGCGTTGTTGCAATAAAGGCTATAACGCTAAGGATGTGAGTCGAAAGTAATGGTTCTCAAACTGGGGGTTAATGAGTAGGTTTTTAAAGAGGGTTATGGTGTTTCTTGGGGGCTAATGAGGCACTTTGTAAATTGTCAAATGGCAATGTGATAAACAAACGAAGAGATAACTGAATAAATATACAAGGAAATAATCTGATAGTGATATTCAAAATAATATGAATTAATTTCTTGCTAATAGAATTAACAAAAAAAGAAGTATTCCAGTTTTCCTTTCCTTTAATCTTACGTAGCAAGAGGAATGGGATAGGAATGATCAGACTAATGCCGGGGTTAATGGTAAACAAAGGAGCCGCGGGTCTAAAGGCAGGAGGTAGGAATTTCTTTGATCTTATGCCCAACAAAAATGCTGTTGTTTATATGAACATTGATTTTATGGGTTAAAACATACTTTCCAGCTGTTTTCACTTCTTGTCTTTAGGTTGAAGATGTGAGAGAGGGCGCGGACACAAGCCTCCATTGGTATAAGGGCTGTTATACTATAAAAATTAAGAACGTTTGCTTTAAAAAAATGTATAACAGATATACAGATACAGATCATTAGCAATTCAAAACAGATGCCATTGCAGCTTATCATCAAGGCTATTTTTAGAGCTACCTAAATTTGACATGATAAATGTGTAATAATCCTTCATGACGCTAAAACAATCATATATATCCTTGTAGATTATAGATATAATTAGAAATGTTCGACGCAGTAGTTTTCACGGTTTTAAAAGCTCAATGACAAAAAAGGAAAAAAAAACAAAAAACATTCATACATATGTAGAAGAGCATTTACAGGAAATACAAAGCAGACATGACTACAGATAGAAATTTTATGCACAAATAAACAGGAGACGGCATGAATCTGAAGACAAACTAAAGGTAAGGCAAATATTCATGTAATTTGTGCGTATACCTTTATTAAGCATTGAGTATAAAAAAAAACATACATCGACACAATGAACATGGGATAAGATAGGTACATACACGAATCAACAAAGGACAAAACACTTAAAGACGACATATAAGTCAACATGAATTAACAAAGCACAAAGCATAGAATAAAACCTAAATCGAAAGATACAAACACACTCCTCATGCCCAAAAGGTGCTACCCTTCAAAAGAGCTCTAAAACAAACATAGAAAAACATCTCTATAAAAAAAAACAGCACCAGCGTAACTCCAACTCCCATACAACACATATCTATTTTGTACATAACGCGAAGGTGAGTAGAGACTACAGCAACCTTGACATTCGCTCAGTTGTCGTCCTTAACGTCACTGTTGTTGAGAAGGACCACATTCTCGTGTCAGCTGTCTCTACATCTGGAAGAAAGACTTGTTTATCAGATGGTGTTACTAGACCGTTAAATCGATCCACGACCTTGACTTACCTAGGTCATGCACGGTGTACGTAATATCCATTGTGACTGTATGTTCTTTGTTTTTTCTAATATGTATTTGGTGTGGTGTAGATATTTGTCATTTGTGTTTGTTTGTTTGCATGTTTGTGATACCGAATGAAAAGATGGGAAGTTAGAGAGAAAGGGTGGAGGGAGGAGGGAGAGGAGAGAGAGAGGGAGAGAGGGAGAGAGGGAGAGAGGGAGAGAGGGAGAGAGGGAGAGAGGGAGAGAGGGAGAGAGGGAGAGAGAGAGAGAGGAGAGAGAGAGAGAGAGAGAGAGAGAGAGAGAGAGAGAGAGAGAGAGAGAGAGAGAGAGAGGAGAAGAGAGAGAGAGAGAGAGAGGAGAGAGAGAGAGAGACAGTGGGAGAGGGAGAAGGAGAGAGGGGAGGGGAGAGGGAGATGGGAGAGAGAGAGGGAGAGAGAGAGAAGAGACAGAGATAGATAGAGAGAGAGGGAAGAGGAGAGGGGGAGGGAGAGGGAGAGAGAGAGAGAGAGAGAGAGAGAGAGAGAGAGAGAGAGAGAGAAGAGAGAGGAGAGAGAGAGAGAGAGAGAGAGAATACAGAAGTACATATAATTTCATAGTTTGATATCAATTCTATCACAGCCATTACATTGTTGTCCAAATTACCAACATATCTTGTAAATTGTATATTAGACTCTTATGGGATTGTTTATCACACAAGGGAGTCATTTTTATCCCTTTATTTGCCTAAAAAATGGACTAAAATACTGTATCAATGATTTGCCTATTAATACCATCAGCATATGCATGAAGGTTTAAAATGGAGTTGGTGATCGTCATAGCGAGCACCGAAAGCGGGAAGATATTAGGCCTAAATAGGAACATCTGTCCTTATCATACGCATTTCAGTGCAACACGTAATCAGAGTGCAACATGGAAATACCATAACACCACGCCATTCCAGGTTATAGTGGGAAAGAGGTATTATTTTACAATTGTTTGTTATCTACACAAAGTCTGGACCGAACTATGTATATAATTTCCCAGGTCTGATTCAGATGACAAAATACCGAGTCAAAAAACGGTAAGTTGCAAGGAAAATAATTTTATAAATGTATTGTTGTTTTCCTAAGGCTGTGTCCGTACCAGTGACAAAACACGGTGGGAACATTAAGACTGAAAAGTTGGGTAACAAGTTGTTAAGTCGTTGAGTCGTTGAGGAACAACGTAGTAGGCATGTTGGTACGGATTTGTTGAGCGACATGTTAGCAATCCTAGTGTGGACGAAGTGATGTCGACTCTTATTGTCAACTTGTCTCTCAACATAGTAACAGATATGTCGTCACCGCTCACCACAGACCAACATCAGTAGACAGTTTCACCAAGTCTCTTTTGTCAACTGTCACGTGTGGATGCAGCCTAAGAATGTCAACAGAACGTGACAGAATGAGATTTGTATATACAGCATGCTACTGAAACCCATTCTAAACAAAATAATTGTCACGGAGGTAATCCAAACGGTTCGCAATACCCAGGATACTGGATTGCAGAACGTATGTGCAATATCAGGTATATGAAGAGGGATTGGAGGACGAAGGAGAGAAAGAGAGAACAATGGACAAATATTCAAATCAATGCTCTATGAAAATAAACGAATCATTCCTTTAAATAACGAAGAGTAAGAGATTAAAAAAAAAAAAAATAGCACAAATCGTATCGGGCAAAAAATAAAGGATATGAGGAACAGATGTCCTTATACTCCACATTCAGAATCAATCGTGTGTGAGGCCTCTTACACTCCTCATCGCACAGGGGAACGAAACAGATAAACACCATGGATGAGTACACCTTAATAAACCATTCATGGTGTCAATGTCATGTTCTGTACACCTGTGAGGCAAAATCTGAGGGTTCCTGCATGCGTGGATTGAATAAATAACCTGTGGTAGCAATAACAGTAGCGATCAACTACATTAAAAACTCGGGTAACAAATCGGAGATTAGTTAATACAGAACTAGTCATAAAAGATAGGTTAACATAGATTAGTTATTAGGAAACTAATCATAAAAGCTATGTTAACAAAGCACAGACTAGTTAATACGAAGCTAGTCATAAAAGCTAGGTTAACAGAGCACAGATTAGTTATTAGGAAACTAATCAACAAACGCTAGTTGAGAAAGCACAGACTAGTTAATACGAAATCAGTCATAAAAGCTAAGTCAATAATACGCAGACTAATTAACACGGAATGGCGCCCGAGGAAAACCTGCATCACTTACATTATTGAGAGACCAGTCGTAATAGTAGGTGTAGCGGCGCTTTCCATCCGCGGCAGCATTGAGGGCGGCGCTCCTGGCCGGGTCGTCGGCGCAAGTTGCTAGGAATCTGGAGGGAGAGAGGAGTGAAGAGTCAAATGGATAAGAAATAATAAGCGATATTATGATTATTTCAACGACATTATCGTTATTGATTGTTATTATCATGAAGAAGATGAAGGGTGATTGTAACATTTTAACATTTTATGATGAAGGGTGGTTGTAACTTATTTTTAAAGTTATCGTCTCTTCATTTTTAGGACCGATTGTACTAGAAATAAAGAAATTTGGTTTTGAATTTGATATATGATAGCAGTAAGGCCCTATAAATATTTGTTATATCCTCAGTTCCAAATGTACCGAGAAACTAAACGAATCAATATATTAGTAATATTCATACTTGGATTGAATTCCTGATTAAAGCTACAATTTCTCAGTGCATATTAAATGGAAAGCAAAGTTGCAACTCGTAAAACTTCATCGAGCGGTTCTCCACCTGAGAGCGTCTTGTTCCGTGGCACCGAAGTCGCTCCTGAACCACTCGAAGATGGAGTTGATGATGATAGTTGACTTATTGATGGACGTGACGCCATCCCGGCACAGGTTGGCCATGGAGGTGTCCAGCGTCTGGTCCAGGTCGGAGGCGAAATACGAGTCCAGGGGCGGGCAGCTCTGTGGGGGTGAGGGCGGTGTTGATGGAAAGGAGAATGTGTGTCTAGTTCGCTCTACTCTGATTATATATTTCTTTGGAAAACGTGGGCCCATTATTCTTGTGGACAAAGCTCAATATACAATTGGTAATTCAAAGGAACCGAACTTTTAACCTGAAATTCGATTTTCGTTCAAGCACTACATCGAGAAATCAGCTCATATAGACACACACAAAACCACAATTATTAATAAGAAAATGCCAACATTGATAGTTAAAATCAAGAACACCTACAGAGACAGCACCCATTAACAACAACATACTAGAGAGAATATACCAACTGCCCGACAACACGTTTAAATATTTTGCCAATCTAAACCTTCATTTCTATCTTGCACATCGTTATATCCACATTGATGCACTCTATCCCACGAATGCCATGCATTAAAGTGAAGATACCAAAGTTTATCCCATAGACGAAATATCAAATCAACAAAACATTAACTAAAACCCATTAATCTAAGAAACACAAAAGGACACACGAATACCCTCGTTTCCTCGCCCCCTCACGAGTAAACCGAGGCCCTCCACTTACCGCAGCGCCGCAGTTGAGGACGGAGTGGATGCGGTGATCAGCTGGGAGCGTGAGGACCCGGCGGGGATCGTCCGAAGCAAACATCACATCACCTGAAGTCGGGTGAGCGCGGTTACCTGAGGAGAGTTGGTGGTTTAGCATTGACGTCGAGTGGAAGAAGCGCGAGGTAAATGCGTTTGTTGTTGAAGATAGCGTTATCGAATAGATGTGAGTGTATTTTGAGAGGATGACAGGAGTGGGGTATTTTTGTTATCTCTTAGTTCTTTCATGTATCTGTCGAAATGTATTCCTTGCACTAAATCTCTGGTGACATTTCTTCGCCTGTTCTCGCTTCTTTATGTCTATCTACCTTTACTGTATCCCTTCTACCTTTTGTTTATGAATATCTTTTATGATTATCCCTCTTCCCTTCATTCTTCCCATATTTCTCATCCATCCCTATCCCGCATTTTTATTATCTATCCACCACATCACATTTCTCATACCCTATCTCTACCCCACTTCATTGTAATTATCCTCCTTCGCTCCATCCCTCCCACATTTATACTCTATCCCTCTCCCCCTTTACATCTATCCCACATTCCTCATCCGCCATCTATACATCCTATTCCTCATCGCCGCCATCCCTCTCCCCTTCTTTACATCACATTTCCTCTCCATCCTCTCCCCCTTTTTATCCATCCCACCCTCATCCGCCTTTCCTCTCCCTACTTTACATCCCGCCATTCTCATCCGCCATCCTCTTTTCTTTACATCTATCCTTCCTCATCCTCCATCCTCTCCCCTTCTTGCATCCTCCCATCCTCTTCCCTTCTTTACACCTATCCTATTCCACATCCCTCATCCGCCATCCTTCTGCCCCGTACCTCTGAGAATGCCGTGTTCGATGTCGTCCAGATGGAGCTTGTAGGGCCCCACCTGGTAGCCGTAACGCCGCCAGAACTGCGTCACGCTGAGGGTGCTGCGCGGGAGGGAGTCCATGCGGAGGATGGCGTCGATGGTCAGGAGGTTGTACACGTCTGGCGAGGGAGTTAAGGCGGGATGGGTTCTGAATAGGTGGGTTGGGTTGTGTTGGGAGTGTGTGGTGAGCCTCGTTGGGAGGTTCGGGTCGGATATCCTTCTCTGTCTATGTCTCTGTGCCTCTCTCTCTCTCTCTCGTTCTTATTCTCATTTTCGTTCTTACTTTTTCACTTTCTCTTTCTACATTTATCACCCCTTACCACCTTTTCTCTCTCTTTCTACCCCTCTCCTCTCTTCCTCTCTTACTCTCGCCTCTCTCTCTCTCTCTTCTCTCCTCTCTCTCTCTCTCTCTCTCTCTCTCTCTCTCTCTCTCTCTCTCTCTCTCTCTCTCTCTCTCTCTCTCTCTCTCTCTCTCTCTCTCTCTCTCTCTCTCTCTCTCTCTCTCTCTCTCTCTCTCTCTCTCTCTCTCTCTCTCTCTCTCTCTCTCTACATTTATCACCCTTTACCACCTTTTCTCCCCCGTCCTCTCTCCCTGTTCCCCTTTTTTTTCAAACCACTCCCCAACGCCCTACAATTGTCTATCTCTGTCCCTCTCTCTCATTCTTATTCTCATTTTCATTCTTACTTTTTCACTTTCTCTCTACTTCTCTTTCTCTTTTTCTCTCTCCTTTCTCTCTCTCTCTCTCTCTCTCTCCTCTCTCTCTCTCTCTCTCTCTCCTCTCTCTCTCTCTCTCTCTCTCTCTCTCTCTCTCTCTCTCTCGCTCTCTCCTCTCTCTCTTTTTCTCTCTACCTCTCTCTTTCCATTTATCCCCCTTTATCACCATTTCTCCTCTTCCCATTTTTTCAAGCCACTCCCCAACGCCCTACAATTACTCAAAAAGGATACTGATGAAAAAAGTCTTCCTTTCCGCCTCCTGCATC